CATCGATTTCTTCTTGTTCTGTATATATTGTTTTTGTTTTATTGTGTTCTATTGTTCAATCTATGCACTTTTCCCCCAATTCAATTTTTGAAGAGGTCGAACCCGAAATATGTAAAGCTGTGTAAGGGTGGTTAAGGTTTAGGATGCTGTGTATATTTTTTTCGATTTATGGAGTCGTTGTGTTGAAATAATCGAGTCAGGATGTTGAATCGTGCTCTGCTGAGGCTTTGAATGTTCAGAATAAATAGAGGCTAAATTCTGTGTTCTTTAACTAAGCATGTCATCTTCCTACACGAAGGGCTGCTCTTGCTCTTGGGAGTTCTCTTTCCCTGCTTTCAAGCAGTCGTGTCAGTCTTGCAAGTGGGGAAAATGTATGATAGCTGGAAGTCTGGAACGTGGGAGTAGAGAGCTTTGCTAACAAACCCAAGTCGCAAATCAACATAGATAAAGTTCACACCAAACCCAATTCCCATAACATTCGCCTTTACTCTCTAGAGTTTCCTTAACTCTAATAATCGTAATTGAGCTTTTCACACTCTAATATCAAATCCCTTGTTTCTTCCCCATGTATAGGAATTAAATTTATCAAGAAATGTGGAAAAAGTACTGTTTCTAAGATTTCTCAGTAATGTACAGATCTGTACAGCTCTTGGTCTTTGAAGGTTAGTTTTGGAATGGTGATTTTGACATTGTGGGATTGCTGTACTTTTGCTGATCTCTAGATTGATAATTTTATGTATTTATGGGGATTTTTTGTCAAAGATGGGAGCTTTAGTTTTGGTTGTTTGTGAACATTTCTTATGAGCTGTACATGGATTAATTTGTTGTTGGGCCAATATGCCACTGGAGCTCTTGAGGGATGTGTTGATGCAGATTAAGGAGTTCGAGTGTACATGGCCCCCAAGAAAGAATGTGGTTGCTTGTGCTGGTGTTTGTAGGAGCTGGAGAGAGATCATGAAGGAAATTGTCAGAAACCTTGAGGTCTCTAGCAAATTAACTTTCCCCAGTTCCCTGAAGCAGGTTCGGTTCATTGAGCATTTGTCGTACTTTTAGACTATTCTCATTTCCCGATTTCGCTTTTATGTGCATGAACTTGCTACCTTTATTGGGATATTCCATAATTCATGATGGAAAATGTTGGTTGTTTTAAATGCTGAATTCAATTTATATTCCGTCAACAAGAATTGAGAAGTGAATTCTTTTGTGTGGTTTCGGAATGTGCTTGTATTTATTGAATTCATTGCTATAATTTTCCAATAGTGGGATTGGAGGATCATTTAAGTACCATTCTGGTTTGCCACCCATGATTACAAATGAAAAGTGGTTAAATGCATCTCCTCCTCCATATTAATTAGCAAAAGTCTCTCACATTTGGGTTATTTTAAATAATTATATTGGTGAGATTGTTCATAATATTGTAAATGTTTCTCAATGCTTGATGGCAATGATCATTTCAAGCATCAAACTTGCTATNTTTCTAAACTTCTATGTCTGTTCCCTTATTAATATGTCTAATAATTTGACTTTGGATTAAAGATCCAGCACTTTTGTAAAAGGTTGGAGTTGCCACTTCACCTGAAGTCAGAGCCACAGCAATCCAGTATGTTTTTTCACCCTGCATTGCTGTAAGTAAATTTGGCAACATGTTTTTAGTCCTTTCTCCCATTTGGCGGATTGTGTTATACTGTACTATGTTATTCCTGATCATTTGAATACTTCCTGGTATGCAGGGATTTTAGATGGGGTCACTCTTATGAGAGGTATAGCGAAGATCATATGATTGTTAGAGCAATGACTGAAAGCACTCGATGTACAGTGACTACCAATAAGGAACTTCTACTATACCTTTCATTAATTGGTAATAATAACCTTTCTAATAAAATTAGTTCTATTTTTTACATAATAAAAAACAAAAGTAACTTTATACCATACTTCCCTAACATTTTCCTTACAAATATAAATATTTTACAATGGCTATCTTGTAGCAAATTACACACATCTGTTGTGACAAATTTCTTTCCACAGTAAATAATATTTTACAGCACATACATACATGCATTAAAATAAATAAAATATTGTGAGTGTGCTATTTTTCCAAAGTATTTGCAAACTGGTCTCATACTTAGCCTCTACAACCTGCATGAACAGATTTTGTTATTAAATACTCTACAGCACACACATACATGCATTAAAATAATTAAAACATTGTGAGTGTACTATTTTTTTCAATGTGTTTGCAGGTTATTCTCATGCTTATCGTCTGCAATTTGCAGGGATAAATTTTCTATCCACAGCAAATATTTTACAGCACATGCTTGCATGCATTAAAACAATTAAAACACTGCAAGTGTCCTATTTGACTGACAGCATAGCGTGAATTTTATCCTTATCCTTCTAATATAATATGATATACCTGAAACATATTCTTTCACTTTCAAATGTCTGAACAACCAACCCATATTATACTTCCCAACTACAAAAGAACAACTTGGAAAATTATATTCCCCTTTCATGTCCTGTAAGTTTTTTACATCTTCATGTTTTACTCTAGCAGTATTCTTACATTTTTCTTGCAAACCTAAATATATTGATAGCAATTCCAACTACTTATGCTCTGACTTCTTCTTGATGTAATTAACAGATACTAAAGATGACTACTTCATACAAGCTCATCTCAGAAATTTCTATTGCTGAAAATAACTGGTCTGCAAAAGTGATTATTACAAGAAAACAGTCACCTAAAAATGCTCGTAACACCTCTGGTCGATATCAAAATCTTCTTCTAATGGATTTAGAGGTGGGTACACATTAATAGCTATAATAACTTTCTCATTTCTAATTATAACTTTTCCTCCTCCTAATATTCTTAACCCCTTATAACCTTTGAAACAGGGAAACAAAGTTACAACCACAATCTATGATGCAAACATTATAGTCCTTCAAGATCAACTACAACTCGGGAAGATATACATACTGTCGAATGCAACTGTCAGACATAACAGAAGCACATTTACAAACTCTGCTAAAGAAAAAGTCTGGTCCATCATAGGGAAAACAAGAATTGAAGAAGTGAATGAAAATAACCTAAACTTCCTCTTCTCTACATATGAAGTTACTCCATTTCACGAACTAGAAAGATACATGGACAAGAACATGAACATAAGTATAGCTCCCAACATATACTAACCTTATAGCCAATATTTCCATTCAATACTTACTAATTATTTTCTTCAAGTTCAGCTACAGCCACATGTACATTACATAACAAACAAATCCCTTCTTTCTTTGTTACAGGTGTTATAGGGGTCGCAATATGCATTCGCCAAAATAGAATCATCCAAACCCACTTTGGCACACAAGCTTGTCTTCAAGATGTTATTTTGATAGACAAGAATTTTCAGACTGTAATGCTTACACTGTGGGATAGTTTTGTTGAACAAGAATGCATTTCTATCACTGAAAACATTGCAAAAAGACCTGTGATATGGGCCACTGATCTTAAAGTTTCTTCCTTCAATGGTAAATTCAATAAACATATAGCCTTTACTTTATTCTAATGTTACATCAGAAAAACAACTAATCTCACTTCTATTTCATATCCTTTGTAGGTATCACACTTTCCACTAAAGTCAGTAGTTCTATTTTCATTGATGCTGAAATATTAGCAGTGGTAGATTATAGAGAATGATTTCCACTCTTAACTCCCAAATTCTAGACTTCTTCCATCTATACAAGAAACATGTAGGAGAGAAATTTATTATCATATACAATTAACTATGTACTTAATTTCCTACAGGGTGAAAACAAACAATGAAGTACTTGAGAAGCTGACTGAGAAACCATTTGTTGCAATGACGCCTCCAAAGCTTTCACCTCCAGCTCAAAACAAATTTACGCCACTTGCAGACTTACTAGGAGTCTACCTGGGGGTACTTTCTCAAATAAATCTTTAAAATATATACACTATACATAGCCTCTTTATCATAAATTACACTGAACACTATGAAAACACTTCTCATCATCCAATTTAACATACATGTCTTCTTACAGAAGAAATTCTATTGGGTAAAAGCCCAATGGAGAATTGTTTCGACCCACCAAAACTTCTGGTACGTGTCATGTAGCAATTGCAAAAAAATATCCAACGTAGACTTCGAAGAAACTTACAAATGTCGCTTCTGTAAGTACGAATAGGCAAAAGCGGTGTCAAGGTAAATTGCATCTCTAAATATAGATTTAAATATTCACTAAAAACAATACTTCGTTCTAGTAGATAATGACATCTAATGTGTTAAACTTTGTTCTCCAGAGCAAACGCTTTCGTTCGCCTTGAAAATAAATCTGGAGAATTAGATGCAAGCATAATAGGAGAGGCGGTAGAGGCACTATTGGAAGCTAAAGCCAACGACATAATGAGCCATTTTGTAATGATAAACAAACCTCCTACTGCCTTATAACAATTTCTTTATGAAAACACAAAAAATATAACACATACAATTTCTACATTGCAGCATCCAGATATACATCTAAACGATGTGATAACGATTAAATCTAAAGAAGATTTGCTCTTCTACCTCAAAGTCACACAAAAACGTCAAGATCCACCAGAATATCGCTATGAAATTATCTTCGCCTTCAATGCGTCAACAACAATCACAGACATAAACTCCTCAATTGCAGTAGCTGATGTGGACTCTTCAACTGAAATTAGTCACATCGACATTTCAACCGAAGTAGCGAATAGTTCACATAACAAAGAAGGCAAGGGAAAACTGTACACCATAGACAGTGAAGTTTCCACAAACATTACCGAAGAGGTGACACCAAATGCAAAGAGAACTCTATTCCAAGTACCAGAAAAAGCAACTGAAGCAGAACCAAAGAAGAAGAGAAAGCAGCCACAAACTACAAACTGGATGAAGAAACCAAAACAGTAACTTTCAAACAAAAAAAGGAATGACAAAAATCCATGTTCTTTTGTTATAATAGACAACTCTATGAGTGTCTCTTATGTTAGTAAGCAGAAAAAAATCAACTCTAGATGTGCAGTAACTTCAACTTGAATGTGTTACTGTTTTTGAAATGTAAACGTTGCTTCAAATATTTTGCCATCTTTTTGATTCTAGAAGCAACAACTACCGTAAGTTACCAAAAGTGATTGTATAGTCACTAGCAATAATATAAAGTACTTCTTTATATAATTCTTCACACACCACACTAACATTAGCTTCGAAAAAACACAACCCGTGCAATGCACGGACCGAGCCTAGTAATTATAAAAGAGAGGATGCAAAATTAACTATTCATTTTGGAAACCTCATTTCCACACCTATCCGGTTTGCTACTGTTTATTAACCTAGATGGGCCCAAACGACACTGTTTGGGGAAAAAACAAAACGAATTTCAGACTCGTTAATCATTTTTATATGCCCCTTAACCCCAATTGCGCTTTCTCTCTCTCTAGCTGTCTCTCTCTCGCGCGATAGGTGCCGTAGTAGCAGGGAATCACGCGAAATCTGAGTCAACCGAGACATATATTTGTGAGTACAATTGTTATTGCATCGATTTCTTCTTGTTCTGTATATATTGTTTTTGTTTTATTGTGTTCTATTGTTCAATCTATGCACTTTTCCCCCAATTCA